CAATGAACGTCGTATCGTGTATTATAATCGTGTGCAATAACTATTACGCTATCGAGGTAATGGACTATGATTGATTTGATAATGTGAGGGTGTGCTATCTTCAACTTCAAAGGCTAATTAATTTCCGAGATGACGATAAACATTGCATTAACCACCTCCACAGTTACGAAGAAAGCAACGTGTACATGAGCATTTATGACGTATAAAAAAATGGGGCAACGCAAAATAAAGAAGAAATAAATATTAATTTTTGCAAACGTAAAATGCGCCACTTGTTTTACTGTAAACTGATTAATGTGCGGATTTTCGGTGAGCTCATTGGACATTTGCCGAGGATTCTCATGAATTATAGACTGGATATTCAATACGACTGCCAAAGATATCCATCACATTTTCATACTTTCTTTATAATATGTAAATGAACTTGATTTCACTTGCTTTCACAGAAAGAATCTTCATTCTTTAATCTTATCTTTGTTTTCTATAATCTATGTCCATAATTACAGAATAGCGATAATTTCAATTATATAAACATTTCAACTTTAATTTATAATCATTTTGTTCGCATTACCATATTGTTTTGCACATTTGCAATTATATAATATATCATATATTATAACATATTATAATTTTACATCAGGGAACTGTAATTTTTGATTGAGTTGGAAGATTTTTACTGTCATATCACACGATTAAAACATTTCTTTTCTGCTTTATAATCTATGTCTACAATTATACAATAATAATAATTGTAATTTTACAAACTTTCAACTTGAATTTTTAATTATTTTATTCGCATTAACATATTGTTTTACACGTTTGTAATTATACATCTATCGTTATAATTTTATATCAGTGAGCTGTAAATTTTTGATTAAGTTGGAAGATTTTTAATATATATACATATATATATGTTATATATCGCATAATTACAACATTTTCTTTCTACTCTATAATCCATGTCTGTAATTATATAGTAATGATAATTTTAATTATATAAACATTTCAACTTTATAATTATTTTGTACGCATTAACATATTGTTTTGCGCTTTTTCAATTATATATACATACATATATATATATATATATATATTATATATATATATGTATATATTGTTACAATTTTATATCGATGAACTGTGATTTTTAATCAAGTTGAAAGATTTTTACTATGACATATCGCACGATTAAAACAACATTCCTCAAACAGCGATATTAGCTCGAAAAATATACCGGGAATATTGCCATAGAGGAATTTATAATGGATGCGCAATTTAAAGAGACGTTAATAAATGGACGGCGGTGTAAATATTGGGTTAAAGTCGGCAGTTTCGAATTCGATTTCTCGAAATGGTATATCGCGCTACGCGGATTGCGTTTAAAATTGATAGCCTGATCAACGACATCTACCTCCTACAATTGAATCTTCTGATAAATTCCCCATCTATCTCGACACGCAACTTCCACGAAGCCAACGTACCAACACCTCCTGCATACGCTTGAGTCAAATAATTTCTCGAATTGTAATGTCGTCGATAAATCAATCCTCGTCGTTCTCATCCGCGACGCGATTGTATTCGCACGTACAATACCACGTTAACACGCTCGAAAAGTTACACGTTAATTCAAAAGTTTTCTTTAGAGCGGCAATTCTTTGACACGGCGTAAAGGTCGTTTTTTTAACACTTATATCAACCCTCGGTCTTCACACTCGTTTTTAATTACCTTCTTCCTCACATTGGAGCACAGCTTGCCTTTACTAACTTACGTGGTAAGCACCTAAAAGGTGTAAAATAGTGAACCACGTAGATAGTGGCGTGTAAGAGAAAATACAGAAAATTTCAAACCAACGTAACAGCTTAAAAATTTCATTGAAATTAAAATACATATTTATATCAGTTAACTCTTAAATATCAGAATGACCCTTCAATAATTTACCATCTATCAATTTTTTTAACAATTCAAAACCTAGGCTTAAGGTAATCAATTGATAATTACTTCAAAGCGCTACAACAATAATAAACTAAATTTACTTACAATGTAATAAAAGAAATCGATTTTCAAAGTAGATTCATATGTGCGTATCGTGAGTTAATTTCGAAAATAACTCGCGATAGTTACTCCCCAACGGGCACGTAGAATGACCGTTCAATATTTAAATGTTTAGCTCGACTTTCCGAGGTTCGGGTTTTATCGTGAATCGAAAAGCTAACAAAAAAGAGCTCTCTCGAACGCGTTACAATACTCCTGTGTCCATTCTCGCGCGCGACTGAAAATGTTCTCTCTCACCGCGTTAAAATTCCGAGGACCAGTAGTCGCTCTTTGTATCGGATATATATATCGGGAGCGCACCGCAGGATGCATCTGGGAGAAGCCTAGAAAGAGGTGTGCAAGGTGGTACAATATAAAATCAACCGTTCATTTAAATATAAACGAGCCGCGTTGGACAAATACGTTTCGTCGGAACGATGAACACGTTATCCCCCGCACCTTTAATTCACGGTCTCCTCTCGTATGCACCAAGACGATGATACAATGCCTTGGCATAAACCATATTTACATATCTTGATACATACACACGTATGAGAAAAATCGATGGCAGTCACGATGGCCAATCAGAAAACGGAAGGCAAGCCCTACGCACAGACGTTGTACGTGAACGTCGTCGCTCCGGATATATGGCATATATATAGGGTGTCCCAGACCTCTCAAAAAGTATTCCAGAGAAGGCAGAGGGATATCAGATGAATAGATATTGTAGAGACAGCGAGGAACGATTGTGACTTCTTCCAAAGAAATTTAAAAAGTTTCGAATGACCGATAGTTAATAACACCTGTATCGTTAGAACGTCCATAAGATTCGAATTATAAATGTATATATAATAAATGTCACTCGTAAAATAAAATATTTAATTTTATGAAGCGAAGATAGTATCAGAATTTGTATTTCTACCTTCTATTTTGCGATCTATCTTTTTTAATTTTTTTTTCTTTAAAGAAAATATAGAGGAAAATCTTTATTTATCGAATGGCATTTATCAATATCATCATTTTTCCAATTTCCAAATTTCCATTTCTCGATCAACATTCAACAAACTATATAATAAAATTTTCGTCATAATAAAGTTTGCTTAAACTTAATTTAAAAACAGTTTTGTTATCAAATCATAGAATATTGAGAAAATGATAAATCATAGAATTTTGAAAACATGATCTATAAAACATATATTTTTTATTTTTATATATATACTGCTTCATACAATATTTAAAAAAATCTCTTCATTAAACTTAAAATAAAAACTTTTCGAGTATGCTTAAGATTAAGAACGGGTATTTAAGAAAAGTCGGTAAAAATTGACTTTTTCTATTAAAAGCTATAAAATAAATCATCTCCAAAGTTCTTATTTAAAAAATGTAATTTAAATATTAATTTGAATTAAAAAATATTTTATTATACGATATTTTATTATTATTGATTTCGTTTTTTTCACCTATTTCGCGTGATAAATACGATTTATTAATTAAAGCAAATATATCTTTTTTGCATAAAGTACGAGAGGGTAACCACTAGCTAAAATATTGTCCCTCAGATTACACGATTTCATATGATTTCATCTGATTACAAATAATTTTTTTCACTACATATGAAGCAATTTGATAAAATATACGATTTTATTTAATTAATTTTAATATTATACAATAATTTCTCGTGGTTGCATATGTAATTATCGGATTACACGTAGAGATTTCATATGAATTTTATAATGATTTCGAGGACTCTGTCCCAAGATTACATTAAGTGGTTACCCCCTCGATAAAGTACGTAAATATATATATTTCAGTATTAAAAACATGTTAAACATTTTCATAATTTTGATCAGGTTTTATTCCATCGGGTGAAGTCCGGGATAGTAAAATCTGAAATTTACCAGGTTTACCTGATTTTTTTCATTGGATTTTTTCGATCAATCCTGATCTTTAGTATTCTGGTCTTTAATATTGAAAATAGATTTAAAAAACTTAATTTCAAATTTTGTTGTCAATGATGCAGGACGGTTTAATGATACTAAAATGCTAGAGACACCTTATATACATGCAGTCGAGTACTGACCGCCTTGTTCGCGTTATAATGCTTATTCGGCCGCGTGTTAAACAGTTCGTCGAAAAGGGCACCTACTTAAGTCCACCCTCTCCCTTTTTTCGTTCCCCCGGCTTTTATCGGCTTTTGTCGTCATACAAAACCGTAAATTCTCCTCGCATTTCATTCAGAGGAATAACGAATCGCTTGTTTCTTAGAACGGCGATACATGGCGCGGAAGAAAGAGGATGTAGGGGAACCCAGAGGGAGATCAGGGTTTATCGTAAACGACCAATTTTATTCTCGCCACGAGAGCTATTCGTCGCGCGAAGACGACGTAAAGACGTCTAGACATTATTATTTAGAAGGGAATCAGGCTGCAACGAAAGAGAGAAACTTGCGGCTATCCCGCAGGAGACACTTGATAGAACAGGAAGGGAAAACGTGTCATGGAGTTGGCTATCGATGTTTACTGGGAACGACTACCGGTTATGGCCCGCCATCGAAGCCGGACTATCGATATTAATATTTGATACTAGACTATCTAGAGAGTCCTACTTGTAAACGTTTTGCGCCTCTAGTTTCTGCTGACTTTACGCACGATCATAAAATTCGTAATAATAGACAATGGAGAATAACACTAAAAAAGAAATGTTTAATTTTAAGATACTAAAATGTTCTACTTTAGTATCTTAAATTCTTTAAAGACCGTTCTTTAAACACTTAAAGATGTTTTAGTTTTAAACTTTTTCAATAAAACACTACGTGTCTTAAATCCAAACACACAGTGTTTTGTTTATTTTGAAAAAGTTTAAAATTGAAACATCTTTAAAAGGGTTAAACACTCCACACTCATCGATAAAGAATATACCATAAACTTATTATTAATAATCGTAAGAATTTAAAGAATTAGTTACGAACCGAAGTGATGAAAAGCGGAGCGGGATATTAATATCCAAGACAACCAAAGCCAGAAAGTTAAGGTCTGAAACAGAAATATACATACATTATGAAAACATAAACATTACGGAAATTTGAATAAAACCAATTGTAATAAAAAAGAAAGGAAGGAAAACATAAAGTTCCTTTCTTTATTCGAAATAAATGCTCAGCTTAGAAATAAACGTTACTCGGAACTGAAATGTTACCCTAATAGATGATAAACCCCTGATATTTTTCCCCAACCACTATTTATCTATTCTTCTGCATCATACCCCGCTCTTATCCGATAATATCATAGAGCAAAGCACTACTGTATCTCATGAATTGGCCATCGAGCGACGGTCTGCCGTTTCCGAAATATCGATGCTCGGCGGAGGATCATCTCTATCTCCGGCATATCGTTCGGTATCGTTAAGAAAATGATAGTTCCCGGCGCGAATCGGCGGGAAAAATGGAACAGCAGGTGCTCGTGTCGGGATACGCAGGCAATCTGTCAGTAGGTGGGTCCGTGTAATCGCGCAGCGCGCCGATTCTTATACGTTATGCGTTGCGTGCCGCCGTTCTCAGGACGATTTAAACTTTCCGCGTCCTCCCGACGGCGCAATTACGAGAGGCGGAGGACGCGAAATTGGCCGAGTTTACCCAACATCGACGTGTTTAACATTCATTAATTTACTAGGTCCATAATTTTTCATTCAGACTAAAATTATACCGCGTGAAACTTTGCGAGAAAAAACTCCACATACGCGTGTGCGTTGGGTGCAAAGGGCAGGAGGAAAGCGCGGTAGAAGATGATGGGTGCATTCGTTAGGGTTAGGTTAGGTTAAGGTTAAGGTTAGGTTAGAACCTAAAGCATTCAGAAGCGACGAGCAAGAAAGGAATTAATCTATTATTAATATGTTTATTTATTATAATTCGTAACGTAGAATAACTTATTTATTACTGTTTATTATTACTGTTTATAACTTATTTATTACTGTTTATTATTTTTCTAATGCCGTGTTTAGGAGGTAAGGTTATGTAATTTTAAGTCGCTCCACCGTTCACTGAGCGCTACACAACTTTACGGCCTAAACACGACATTAGAGAAATAATAAACAGTAATAAATAAGTAAGAAATATGATATTAAAGATTATCTATAGTAGACAAAGTTATTCTGCGTTACGAATTATAATAAATAAACATATTAATAATAGATTAATTCCTTTTTTGCTCAGCGAGTGCTCAGTGAGCGATCGTCGCTTCTGAATGCATCTAATTTAATCTCTTTCATGAATAGGTTATTTCAAAAATCTTCGTTATAACATATGATGATTCGGTGTGGACACAGTTTCTAGGCATTTTGTGTTCTGAAGTATTTCAAATGATATATATATCGAGTGATACCGAGATCTTGATCGCATGCCAATATAACTTCTAATAACGTGTTCGGTCATACTAATAGCGTTTTTCATTGACAGCACTAATGCGCACTCAGTGCACATTAAAGCTGTTACACATGTTATTCTAAATATAACAGAGATATCTCAATTGATAAAATGCCCAATGTGTATTTTATCAAATAGCACAATAAAATGTATTGAATATTTCGCGGTTTAATTCGTTTCTATATATATTTTTATTAAACGTACATCTTTATGTCGATTTGTGTACAACGGCTTTAAAGTGCACTGAGTGCGCACTAGTTTCGCCATTGAAAAACGCTGAAAGTTAGCGCGCACTAGTGCATACTAAAGCCGTTATATACACTAATTTAAAAGTAAAATGTTCGAATTATAAGATACACAGATTTTACTTAACGGCGCAAAAAATTTACTAAGAATTTCATGTTTAATCCGTTATCGTATTTATATTGAACAAATATTGTTACGTCAATTTGTATACGATGGCTTTAATGTACATCAGTGCGCACTGAGTGCATCCAATCGAATTCGCTATAAGATTAAATTTAAAACACAAACTAAGAGAAGAACATGTGTAAGATATATAAGGAGATCCTGCATAAGAAATCAAACATGCTAAACATGCTTCGAGCCACTTAGTTACGCCACCGCCCTCTTTCCCTCTATTCCATCTCCTCGCGTGTGGATTAGAGCACCATTACTTTTTTTTTATCTGTCTATAAAAGACAAAGGCGCTCAAGCAGGACGCGTATAAATTTTGGCCCAATTTTCAGCGATCTCTCGCTGAAAGACTTATGATCATGCAAATCCCCTGCGATCGTTCGTGCTCGAAGGCCAGCGTTTGTTAACGAAGATTTTTCTTGTCCCGTCGCCGCATCGCGGGAAACAAACGATCCACGACGGCTATTGTATGCGACTCAACACAAGGCGGCGGCATCCAAGGAAAAAATCTGTGTCGGCTCTTTATCCAGGCCGGTTAGGCTTAGCTGGAATAATCGGTTTTCTGAGGAAATCCTTGACACCCATCGCGATTTGCTTTCCGCGTTTCAAGATTGACAATGGGTCGTTCCAAGATTGAAGGACGGTACGAAAATCCGCAGTTTTGTGCAAAAGCCGCTTAAAATTCTTCCCCTGGACTGGTATAAATTTGTGCAAGTGTGAAAAAAAAAGAAAAAAATCACTGTACTACGAGAGTTTATGAAATATTCATGATTGTTCTAAAAAAAAATTCGGAATACACTCGCCTCTCTCTTTCACAAAATTCTCTAAATAAATAATATTGGCGAAATGAATGAAGCTTTATAAAATGTAACAGAGGAAAATATTTATATCCGCGTCCCAGCTCAATAATTGTAGCGAGAAAAAAGGGAAATGATAACTTTATTTTATAACAATCAATATTATTCTGTGAGTTGTATCAATTATAAGTTTCCATTTTAATAAAATGTTCAGATAAATACTACGACGTTCAATTTGTATAACTACACACAAATATTTCTTTAAATAATATTTTATTGAAAGTAATTTGAAAATAAAGCTCATGACAGATTTCTCGTATTTTATTAAAAATCTTATTTTTAAATCAAATATTACCTTTTCTTTTTAAATATGCGGCACAAATTTTTGTATTATATACCAAATAAATACATATTAATTTAAACGTTCGCATAATTTTTAAAATATCTAATAGAAATCTGATTTCACACGATAATTTCTTTCCGAAATATCCCATATATAGAACATTGTGTTATTTTATCTCTATTATCTTCTTAAAACATTAATAATTAATGTGAAAGAGTAAGAGAAAGAGAATCGTAATTATTATACATATAAATAATTACGATACAATCAATCGCATTAATGATTACTAATAATCAGTAATATTGCATATATTATTAAACAATATATTTAATATATTATATTAATGCAACTAATAACGGTGCATCGGCAAATGCATCTCTTCCATAATAAATCAAATTCATAATAGTTGATTTTGCAAAATCGAAAATCGATCGAACGTGAACGTGTGAAATCCTTTAGACAGTAGATGGAGATTATCGCCTCATGATTAAATTCTTGGTTCTATCGTTCGATCAAGAAACGGCATCTATGATCGTGTGTGACCGCTATTATTGCGGTCTGCCGGTCCGGCAACCGTCACGCATAGCTACGCGCGCGTAACGATCGCAGGAGACTTCCGGAAAAGAAAGAAAACTCGGGCAACGTAATAATCCCGTTGGAAACTACAGACGACTGTGTGCGCAATTACGGTAATGCGGCGCAAAGACAGACGAAGAGAAAATAGAAAAAGAGGAAAATAAGTTTGTAACTCTTGGACGAGCATAATACCAAAATAACATAGAATACACAGTTAGAGTTAAAGAAAATTACGAAATTGAAAAAAATATCTTTCTCCTGGTGTCCGAGTCTAATTTCCAATAACATTTAATACATTTCAATTACTTTAATGGCCGATATATAAAAGTCGATGTATAAAGTCATCTGGCGAAGCAATCCTTTAATTGTTCCGCATAATACAGGAATAAACGATTCTTTTTTTTTTCTGCAGTTTAAGAGAGCGCGTGAGAGAAAAAGGGAAGATCGAGTGGAAGCATTTCTCTTTTGAACGGCAAAATTCTTTGGAAGGACACCAACAGACATGTATGATGCACATGAGCGTGTAAATTGGAACGTGAAAAATGTAAGAGACAGAGAGAGAGAGAGCTGTTTTCGTCACTTTTCTCCGCTTCCTGCGTACACACACACACATACACACGTGTTCGTAGTCGAGCTTTCCGTCTTCTCTTCGCTCTTCTGCCGCGACCGTGAAAAAGAAGGGGTGCGCGCGCGACAGATACACCTCACACCCCCCCGAGGTTGAGAGCTCGGCGGCTCTCAGTTCTCCCGCGGGTGAACTGTTGCAGCAGCTGAATATTACATCGCGTCGGCACGGTACACGCAATTGGACGTCGAGTTTCCCCCGTACGTAGGTACGAGTACATACACGTAGCGCTTATGTCGAGCGTTATCCCGAGGCATAACTCATGTACGCTCGCGCGGACGCGCAACTCTCAACGCCCCGCGCACAACAAACTTACGAGCAGCTAATGTTCGCCATAGTCGCGGGCGGGCGGCGGGAATTAAGGATGCGCTCTATTCTCTCCTCTCTGCTCTTGTTACGACCGTTGCTTTAGCCAGGGTCACATGCAATGGCATCGGGTCCCCGGTGTTTATGCTCGATATTACGGAAGTTATCGTCGTAATAGCGTTTTAGTTTTATACCTTCTGCACCGCGTGCGTTATCTCTCTCTCTCTCTCTCTCGCTCCCCTCGCTTCTCTCCGCCTCGCGTCGTTTTACGAAGCGATAAAATTACGAAGTCGAATGACCACCCACCAGACGACTATCCTCTGCCTCATGGATGGATGGGATGTATATTTATGACGGTGATAGCGCGACACACCGACTGAACGAGCGAATCCATGGAATCCACCACTGCGAAATAATAATCATTTTCATCTGTCGTTTTTTATTGTGAGCCGACTGTCGCGGGATCGACAAGCGGTGAGGTAGTTTCCCCAAAACCGCGATTGCCAATTTTTTGATTGTCGCGCGCTCACAAAGGGAGGTACTAGCTGTCA